GCTAAAACGCGGAACGGAAAACGGAACGGAAAGCGGAACGGAGCGGAAAACGGAATATATCACATTCGATTAAATTACTTAAAATACACAAATTTTGTCATAAATAATATATTTTAAACACACCCAATCCCCTATTATCAAAAGTAAGTTGATTTAGTCATGTTCAGCCTCTTTTTTTTTTTTTATTGACAAACAAAGTTGCTGAAACAAGAATATCATTATATAGCCTCGTTTAAAAGTCATCATTTCGTAAGTTCTATGGTCGATACAATGACCTTATCAGCAAACACAATTAATCATTGAGTCAAATGCTGAATTACGTTTTTCATACTTAATGTTATATGTAGTTCATTATTTATACAATGAATCGACGACGGATTTTCCCGTTATTTCCCGATCATGACAAGGAGCACACGGCGGGTGTGTCCGGTCCGCAGGAGATGCTCACTCCTCCATGGCACCTGATCCCACCTCTGATATATAGGAGGCCCGTGTTTGCTCTCCATTGTTTTATAGACTTTTGATTTTGAATAATGTTCGTTATCTCAATATCATTCATTCACGACATAGATTTGAATTTGAAAGTTTTTGTGTGCGTGTATGTATGAGAGGGGGGGGGGCGTTAAACTTATCTGAAAGAATTTTTCAAGCGAACCCCCCCCCCGCCCACAAATTTATGATTCGGGAGGGGGAATCAGTTCCTACTCCAATGCCTTTCAATACATTTTTATACCCCACGCAACTAGTTGCGTGAGGTATAATGTTATTGACCCGTTCGTCAGTCAGTCGGTCAGTCCTCTTCTTTTTGTCAGCGCAAATCCTCATAAACCGCTGCACAGAATTTCGTCAAACTTTGCAGGTATTTACAATGTTTAGATGTGCATATTACCAGGAAATTCCGATTCCATTTTTTCCGGGAATTTCCGCACTTTTTTTTTAACTTAGGCATTTGGTCATACCTTGAATATAGAGATGAACAGTTTGTCAGCGCAACTCCTCATAATCCGCTGCACAGAATTTCGTCAAACTTTGCAGATATTTAGGACACAATATGCAGATGTGCATATACATGTAACCAGGAAATTCTGATTCCTTTATTTTTTCTTAAAATTTCCACACTTTTTAACTGAGATATTTGGCCATACCTTGAATATAGAGATGAACATTTTGTCAGCGCAACTCCTCATTAACCACTGCACAGAATTTCGTCAAACTTTGCAGATATTTAGGACACGATTTTTAGATGTGCATATTACCGGGAAATTCCGATTCTTTCATTTTTCCCGGGATTTTCAGCACTTTGAGTTTTGGGGGAGCGTGCGGTATGTGAGCTTGCTCAGTTTTTCTTTCATTTGTACACTTACTTACTGGAGTTTTCACCTCTAACATGTAAAGTTCGTTTGTTCTTTAAATTTTATACAAAATCTCCATATATGAGTAACTGTATTTATTAAAATTCTGGATAAATATAGTTGGAAAACTTTTCTGTGTTAAAAATGTAGCATCTTTACATTTTGTGAATTATAGTTTGTGGTACATGTGTGCGTGTGTAAGGGGAGGGGGGTGATGATATGAATGATGTAACACTTTAGATTATTTTTCGGCTCTTTGGAAAGGTCTGAAAAGTTGCAAATTGTCCGCACCTCCCCTTTTGACATTAGCGCCAGACCTTTTTACTATTGAAATGTTCATTGAAATCTAACAGTTTTTATTAAATTGATGCATTTCATGTAGAAAGATTGTGTAAAAATAGTACTGAAAGAAGTTGGACTTTGAACATATCCCACCTCACCCGAACGAAATTGTCTTTTGTATTTTTCGCTTCTCAAACTCTTTTGAAATAAGTTTAATGTTGGGGGCTTCCTACACACACACTTTCAAATTCGATTCTACGTCATTGCTATGTCAGCAATTTTCGTGAATAAGAGACTAAAATGACATAATAACCTGTTTTTAATAAAAGGGGATTTAATAGGAATAAAATGTATCGTTTATGATAAATATTGTGTATTTTAAGTGATTTAATATAGAATAATATATTCCGTTTTCCGTTCCGTTCCGCTTTCCGTTCCGTTTTCCGTTCCGCGTTTTAGCAACACCCTATTAAGAAGAATCAGGTCATTGAAATCGTTTACATTTCATCTCTGAAAAATTACTGTTACACATTGCAGCACATTTTATTAGTAAAGGTATTGATGTTAAACTAATTTAGAAAAAAAGAAAAAGAATTGAATAACTTTGCTTTTACATGTGAATTTCAAAGATTCACCGATTTTCTTCTCTTTGAACGAACAGGTGTGCGTTGATCAGCCACTTCACATGAATTGTCCTCAGTGTTGATAATTGTAGATGTATGTATATACAGTATGTGTTTAATGAACTTCATTCCCCCTTTTAAAAAAGTTTATTTGAAGTTGGTGTATGTTCAAGGAATCACTGTCTAGTTTTTAGAGTATGCCAGGGCATCAACAATAGCGGGAAACATGGGATAATTTGCATAACGGGCGAAGCAGGTTATGCTAAAATTATCCCATGTTTCCCGCTATTGTTGATGTCCCTGGCATACTCTCATAACTAGACAGTGATTCCTTATATTTCAATTTCATTGTGAAATAAAATTGTAGACATTTAAAATGTAGACTAATAGATTTAAATTACACGAGGACTTCCATGCCAATTTCAATAGTCCTCACACACACATCACACACACACGCACGAGATTTACATATTTGGCTTCCTTAGTGTCAGTTACAATGACAGATGCGCACAAGATTTGCATGTATATCAGGCCTCCATAGCTGCTGACCTATCGACCTGCCTAATTTACATTCCGGCAGAATTATCAAGAAATAAATTCCTCCAACTTTCAAACAGTTGTCAAAGAGAAAAAAATTATAATCCTTAAGAATTATTTCATGACAACTTGTAATTTTGTGAGCTGGTGGGAATATCCTGCATACGTACATATAATCACATTTATTTTTTCCCGAGTCATTTGAATGCTTTTGTTCTTTGAAGAGATTTATATTCATACGGCAGACAAATTTTAGTGAAATAAAGTATTTTTCTCATATATTTAGTATAGGGTACAATATATATTCATGGCATTTAAAGAATCCATGTAATTTTTTACCTAATACTCACATCGTTCGACAGTTGACTGGTTAACCAGGTACTCGTTGACAACACCAGTTATTTCTTAACCAATGAGAATGTGTTAGCAATTTGACAGATGCTTATTACATGTATTACGTAGTGCCGAAAGTGCTAAGTTACACATGCAGTATTTGACTCATTAGTTTATATATCAGATATTTCTAAAATCATGTAATAAACTAGAGCGGTAGCGATTTTAGCAATCAGAAATGCTCACATGTGCCTCAATATTGACCAAAGAGTCTCTCTTCACTTACAGATTGAAAAAAATGTCCACACATTCCCCTGAATATTTTTAGACATTTCTAATAAAAATGTGTCTGTTGTCTGTCGTCATTGTTGTTGTTATCCTTAACTTTTCACATCTTCATCTTTTTAGGTCACCTGAGTAAAATATGGTGACCTATTGCTATCACTTTTCATCCGTTGTCATTCCTCATCCGTCGTTAGTTGTGTGTTAACATTTGAACATTTTTAGCTTCTCCTCTGAAACGACTGAACCAATTTCAACTAGATTTGGCATATAGCATCTATGGGTAAAGGGGAACAAAAATTGTGAATTTCATAGTCCCTGCCCCCCTGGGGCCTGAGGGGTGGGGCAAAAACCACTAAAATTAGTGCAATCTTTAAAAATCTTCTTCTTTACTCCTGGACATCAGGCAGTCAAACTGTTTGCATGATTGTAATCAGCTTTGAGTCCTCTACCAAAATTGTGAAATTCATGGCCCCAGGGTCATGGGTTCTAGTGCTAGGGCGGGGCCAAATATATAGTGAAAATGCATTATTTGAAAATCTTCTCCTCTGCTACTGGGTATTAAATAAACCTACTAAGCACTAAGTTATAATGAGCAAGAGTGCCTCTACCAAAATTGTGAATTTTATGGCCCCAGGGTCAGGGGTTCTGGTGTAAGGGCAAGACTCTATAGATTATAATAGTGAAATTACATGAATTCTTTGAAAATCTTATTCTCTGCTCCTGGGTATTAAATAAACTAACTACTGTAAAAGCACAAATATTCGTGGGGAATTAAATTTCGTTTATTTCGTTGTTAACAATTATCAACGAAATTAAATCCCACACGAAATTTTATATGATTGACTATATTTTGAATAGGGTTACTTTCAAAACAACGAAATTAAATGCCAACGAAACTATTTTTGATGCCGAATCAACGAAATTTTATCCGAACAAAAATTTGTGATTCTACAGTAAGTGCATAGTTATGATGAGCAAGAGTGCCTCTACCAAAATTGTGAATTTTATGGCCCCAGGGTCAGGGCTAATTAAAATTTTATATTGAAATATATAGGGAAATTCTGTAATACTGTAGTATTTTTCTTCTCAAGAATATCAAAGACATGATTCACATGAATGATCATATTTATATGGTAGCATTCTAAAGTAGTGTAGATTCACGTTTGTTCAAGTCATGACCCCTGGGGGTAGGGCGGGGCCACAATGGCCGATCAAAGTTTTATATTGAAATATATATATGGAAAATTCTGTAGCATTCTTCTCTTCAAGAATAGTTTGGACATGAATGATCATAATATATGGAAGCATTCTAAAGTAGTGTAGATTCACGTTTGTTCGAGTCATGACCCCTGGGGCTAGGGCGGGGCCACAATGGCTGATCAAAGTTTTATATTGAAATATATATGGAAATTCTGTAATATTCTTCTTCTCAAGAATGTCCGAGACATAAATGATCATATTCATATGGAAGCATTCTCAAGTAGTGTAGATTCAAGTGTGTTCAAGTCATGACCCCTGGGGTAGGGCGGGGCCACAGTGTAAGTTCAAATGTAAAGGGCAATAAATGCCACAGGTTGACCAAGAAATGTGCAAGCATCCCTTAGGTTTGTGTAGATTCATCTTTGTTCATATCATGCCCTTTCCCGTTTAAGGATTGGATGGGACTTGCACTTCTAGGTTAAAACTTCTAAATAATTTACTGATTACTGCTTTTTTTCATGGTACAGTGCTCAAGTGAGCGATGTGGCCCATGGGCCTCTTCTCTGAATTACCTCTACCAACCCCATCCAACACCAACACACCTGCCTCCCAAATAAAAGTACAAAATTACATGAATTTTAGTTCAAACATTGTTTAATTTTCCAGGGGACTAATGGTAGGAAAATCACCGTCCTCCATGAAGGATCTGGAGATTACTCGACCAATGTTTCTCAACCAAATAGACCACCTTGCTTCTTAGAAGAACTTTTTCAAGATGAGGCTGACTTGATTCATCTTCAGATGAGGCAGCAGCAGCAAGGCCAACAGAGTGTTTCTTCTCAAACAGACACAGTTGTTATTCTTGGACCTGATGATGTGTTGCCTTCTCAGAATCCACCATCTTACAACAACATCTTGAAGATTTTGAAAGAACTTCAGAAATCCCAACAGGAAAGTAAACAAATGATTCAGGACTTGTCCAAGGAAATGAAGGAGATGAAACAAAATCAGCAAAACACCAGGATGTCCATTGGTTCCCTTCTGCAAACATCAAAAGATCTCCCAGAACTGGTTGTCAGCAATCTTCTTGATGTTTCTGTGGAAACAGCCCAAGGATTGGAACAATGCCTTCATGCCAAAGCAGCCACAAACTCAGAGGAGACGGAAAAAGCAACTGTAGATCAGAGAAAGTCTGCACCAGTCGTCTTATCTACAAACACTCCCCTTTCTTCCAAGACCAGCAGCTTTAGAAAAACAACAACCAACAGATCAGTTGTCAGAGATATACAGGTATCACCTCAAACAAATCAACCGGAAGTCATCAGCAATCCATCAACTTCCTTAAAAGTGACAAGTAACAATCCGACATCCAATGCCACAAGCACCTCGTCACCAGCCAACAAATCGAATACGTCAGTCTCAGAAACCACAACCACTACGGAAACAACAAGCGCACCTTCCAATACCGAGTGCATCAATCAAGAACCTACTGCTACTTCAGCCACGTCTGTCACAACTACCAGTACTGATACTACATCCACAGCTTACTCATCAATCCTGGAATCCCCAGACTTGGCAAATACATCACCCACTACCTGTTGTACAGTAAACACCGCATCAACAAACAACACTAGCTGCTCATCAGTGATTACCCAGCCTATCAACACTAGTACTCCAGTACCATCAACAAACAACACCAGCTGCTCATCAGTGATTACCCAACCTATCAACACTAGTAGTCCAGTACCATCAACAAACAACACCAGCTGCTCATCAGTGATTACCCAACCTATCAACACTACTCCAGCATCAACAAACAACACCAGCTGCTCATCAGTCATTACCCAACCTATCAACACTACTCCAGCATCAACAAACAACACCAGCTGCTCGTCAGTCATTACCCAACCTATCAACACTACTCCAGTACCATCAACTCTACAAGCTGAAGACACAACGTCACCATCCCCTGCCAGCCAAACCTCTACAGCCATACTGACAACAATAGACATTAATCAAGCAGCAGCTATTCTCCCTGCATCAGCAGACACTTTGATAGGAAGGCAGAGCCAGCCAGCATCCACCAGCTCCTGTGCACAGAAAAAATCGTTCAAGCTGAACTGTTTTTCGGGACCCATAGTCGAGATAGAGGGACCACAGGACATTCAAGGGATACCAGAGAATGCAGAGATCCGAATAAAACAGAAAGTAACATCGGAAGCTGCCATGAATGCCTGTTCAAAAGCCAACTTTGGATGGATTCTTGCGCAGCAAATGTACAAAAGGGAGGAATTGATGGGCAGGAATGTGTTTGGCAACAGGAAGAACATTCTTCCCATTTCCCCACGACGTCGCCATGCCCTTGAGCATGCGGTAGCTGAAGTTTATGGGATGTACAACCAAAACATGAAGGAGGCAGTGAATGGAATCAACACGGGACTCAGAAGTCTAAGGAGACGATTGCCATTCACCCCACAGGACCCTAACATTCCAATGTAATGTCCATTTGACAAGGTTATGTAAATTTGGATCTTGAAGGAGACTTTCAACTCGGTGCATGTCAAAATACAAGACAAGTGTAGTGTTCCTTTTTGTAAAATGTGCATGTACATATCAATACTTCAGATTATTAACATATTCAAAATGCATCTGTAGAGAACACAATATTTTGTTATAGAAGGATGAAAGTATTTATTTTATTTATGAATGTGTATGGACTATATAATCTTCATGATATCATTTCTTTGCTTCGACATAACATAAATAAATTACTATTTTTTTCATTATGGCCTATTGCAGTTTTAACGATGATTTATGAATTTGCACTTGCAGAACTGTACTGTATATTCCTTATCAAATGTATTCATTATTTCATTTGCTTTTCCAAAACAAAAATAAATTGTAATTTGTATCATCATGATTGCATTTTGTTTATACTCCCAGTCCAAGTTAATCTTGTTGATTGTGGAGGTATTTCAGTGACACCTAAACAAAGCTTAGATAAAAAATTTGTTTGCAGTTGCCTACCGCCTAGCTTTTTTCCAGCTTGTATGTATTATAATTTTTCAGGTTCAAGTTTCCATGATATCAGCTCTTTTGGCATTCTATTTAAATTTGATTATCATCTTTTTTCAATCAATGGTTTCTGAGAAGTGTAGTTTACATGTATTTGTGTTAAATACCTATTTGTACTTATTTTTTATCTAACAATTAGAAAACTACATTTAAATATACATGCAATTCAAAAAATCTGCCCATTCTAAAGATTATGGGTCGGCAACTGAAAACAAATAATTTTTTAAGCTTGGCCTGATATTGATCCACCAGGGATTTTTAACTTAAGTAGAATCATTATTGCTCATGGGGGACTAATGTTTGTGGATTTCATAAACTAACTTGCATTTTCATCCCCAAGAACATTTTTTTTTAAAGCAGAGATTCATTGAATCTACCATATAAACAAATATACCACAAAATTAAGAATGAACATTGACCCCCATGAATAAAAATGATTCTGTCATAAATATTTGTCAGGGTTACTACTTTTTCCAATTTTAAAATGCGACCAGTTTTTTTTTTTTTATTAAATTTGATGTCCTTTCCGAAAGTAGATTCCAATAGTTGAATCCACACTGTTCAAAAGTTATGTCCCTTTGACACCAGCTTTTGGGAGAATCATCACTGTAGCCTTTATAATTTCTGATTTGTAACTTATTCACCTAAATAAAAAGGTTTTGTGCATTTTGTATACAAATGTATTTATTACTCCCAACTGAGGCTACCCATATATCAAGAAAAAAAGATTAAACACAGTGGTTTTATTGGACCACATCCAAATGTTTGGAAGCATTCAAAGGAGAAATATCACTTCATTCCCTTTTGACTTTTTGGTTGACCCTGCAAAGGGACACAATTTTTGCAAAGTGTGGATTGGAGTATTAGAACATATGAATGAGAAATGGCACAAGTGATCTGTGATCATCATGATCATGGTGATGCACATAAGAAATACAAGCTCCACATCTTTTATCATGTTTATTATTCAAAGACTATATTTATTTGTAAGTAAAATGTCAACAAAACAATGTAAAAGTTATCAGTGTTACAAGATCCAAACTCAAAATAATGTCAAGGTTATCAGTGATACAAGATCCAAAGTCAAAACAATGTCAAGGTTATCAGTGTTACAACATCTAAACTAAAAACATTTAGCAAAGTTTTAATCACAGATAATGCATTTCATAATTTGTATCATGCTTAACATGATGAGCATCCAATCTGAATCATATTAAGTAACACAAGCTACAATTTTTGTGACAATTCTGACAAATCAGATGAATGTCCACCATTCTTTTAAACTCTGGGGCAATAATATATGTCGACTTAATAAACACTAATCTATAAAATTAATGTACTTGAATATAAATGTTAACGCACATATTATAAGAGTGATCAGATGATCAGAATGATGAATCGCACCCAATATTAACACAAAAAAATAATTGTCGCTTAATTTGCATCAAGTTCATCACTGGTTTCCTGAACTGTGTAAAGTCTATGTACATTTTAAGGCACTTCGTGTCACCTGAGTGAGGTAAATTGGCAATATGTCTAACTGGACACTTAACGCTTAATGCACATGCATCCTTAGAATTTGGTAGGTCCTCCTGAATTCAGAACAACATGAGGTATCACACGATGCACATGATCAATGTAGCGAGCACACTTCTCTGCAGTTAGACTTTCCCAGAAAGATGTAATTCCGTTGACAAGTTCTTCTTTCTTCTTTGGCTTAACAACACTCCGCAAGTAAGTCTTCATGGCTGACCAAACGTTTTCGATTGGGTTTAGGTCTGGGGATGATGCGGGCGTGGTCATGACACTCTCTGATATTCCTTTCTGTTCCATCCATTCCTTTGTTGACTTGCTTGTGTGTTTTCGGTCATTATCCTATGAATAAAAAATAAGTAATTAAAATTAAGTACATTAAAGAAAAACATACATTTATCTGCATGCTATAACAGTAATATTGATCAATGAGATACAAAAGTACTCAAATTTATCATGTTTATGCATATACACATTCAACTTTAATTCTGTCATAAATAAACTGGTATAATACATCTTGAGGTATTAATTAATGATTAAAAGTGTGAAACAAGGAGTATGGAATTTATTTGTTATTCATAAATGTCTAATAAAATCCTGCATGATTTCCTGGAACTTGTAATGATTCAGATTGGGGAAAAATCATATTCAAAGTTGGTTTTTTTAAAATAATGGTATTTCAATGCATTTCACAGATGTTTCAAGAGAGTTGTCCTCTACAGATGTGTATACATGTATATATTGTACATGAAGTGATTTAACATGCAAATATTTAAATGACCATGATGACAAATATAATGACTGGATATTCAATATTACCTGGTACAGTCGGAATCCATTGGGAAATTTCACTGCTGTGAATGGCAACAGATTATCCTCAAGAATTTTCTGGTAAATTTCGGAGTCCATTATCCCAGTGAATATGCAGATATCTGTCCTGCCTCGATACGAGATCCCTCCCCAGACGTTCACCTTGTAAGAATGTTTTGGTTTGGGTGCTTTAGCCGGTAAGCGATCCAAGTTTGAGCCATCCTGATGAAAGAACAGTCTACCAGAGGAACACATCTCAACAGTTGACTCGTCCACATATATCACATCCTGAAAAGAGTCTTTCTGGATCAGCTGGGTAATGCACCACTCCAGTCGATGCTTCACATTCTTGTGGGAAATTAATTGTCCATATTTCATGTTCTTTGGAGACCAGTTCAGGCGTCTTCTTATTTCACACACATATTCTCTGGATAACTTAATGCCACAATGTTTTTCAAGTTTTTCTAAAACGGTCTGGGCTGTCATCTCAGGATTACAAGACATCCACATATTCACAAACTGTAGATGTAGTTCAGTGACCTTGTGGAATTCATTACCTCTGGGCTTCCTGTAAAAAAAAAACGCACACATTGAGTGAGGAATAGCCATGATACGTGTAAAGAGAAATGCGTTGCATTAAAAAATAAATTTTAAATAAAGCTACAGTGGAAAAGTTCTTCACTCGAATCGAACAGATATTGAATAGGCCTAGTACATCATGCACATATTGTACAGTACTTGGCCATAAGTGAGTCATAATTTTATTTTTCCACTATATATTTCATTAGGAAACACATTTTTTCTAAAATATTCTTGCAGTGTCATTTATTGTTTCTTTTTAATGTCTAAAACACCAGAAAATGCAGAATTTGTTGTAGTTTCTTCACATTATTTCAAAATAGTTTTATCTTTATGCATTACCGTGAAATCACAGGTCAAGTGCAAAACAAAAAATTTAAGACTTCAATTTGTTAAGAAATCATAGTAATTGAGGTTAGAAAATTTTGTCATGACAATATTTTATGATTTATTCTCAATAGTTTAAGTATCATTTTGTTTATCATTTAAGATAAGAAAATTTGAATAATTCTGCATGTTTCAGTGAAAAAATCATGAAAATTGAGCTAAAATTGACTTCACAACAAGTTTTTATGAAAATAGGTTTTTTAATGAAGTATATAGTGTAAAAAAAAATTATGACTCACTTATGGCCAGGTACTGTACATGTACTAGTTAGTCATGGTTTCACTAAATACTGCCATGTAACTTTATTTTTATCGTCACATTAACCTTATAACCCCTTACACCTTGTAGAACTTTTTTCGGTAATTTCGGATGAGCCTTTTACATGCTTTACAAACGCTTTGCGTATCTCCGATGGCGGCCATTTTGATTGTTTATATACATGTATCTATTCTAGGAGGTCTATAGATATTTTTAGAATTAAAAAAACCCACAATAGTCAAACTTGTGATTTAAAATTAGACTACCAGACATACATCATCACTCTTACATGTACAGTATATTTACGCATCCAAAATTAATAAAATACGATCGTTTGATTTGAACATGTTGAAATAGGAAATTACTTGACGATGTCAACTTAAAGATGTTAAAAAGTTTACAAAATACTAAATATGTATCGCTTAAGTACTTCATTTCTATAATTTTACCTTGTCTACAAATAAATTTCTCTTTAGTATTTTTTTATAATTAAAAACGTTGTACAAACCTTTGATCATGCACACTCCCTGTCCGTTTATATCGATTGAGGAACCGCCTTATACTCTGTCGGGTGGTTTGGAATTTATGGTTGCTCTTAAGAATTCTTTCGATTTGCACAGTCGATTTCCCCCCTTTATGATAATCAAGGATACAGTTTCTCATCGACAACGACAACCTCCTTCCACCTCGTCTGGGAGCCATTTTCAAAATGAAGGGGCTTGGGAGTTCCGAATGATCGCAACACGTTTCTCACACGGTTCTTACACGAAAATCGCACGTTTCTCGCACGGTTCTTACACGAAACTCACACGTTTCTCGCACGCTCGCTACACGGTTTGCACGAAACGCTTTGGAGCCTACACGAAACGCTACACGGTTTGCACGAAACGCTGCACGGTTTACACGAAACGCTACACGTTTTGCACGAAACGGAAAGCGCACGATTCTTACACGCTTTTTTGGGGTAGTAGCACGTCTCAGGGTCTGTAATTATGTTCTAACACAGAGAGATATATGCTGACTTTAAAGCACTGAATATTTTCATCAGCTATGACGTCATATGTTTCCAATGACGTCACGAAAATGACGTCAATTTAAAATTTTCATTATTTCTACAGAAAAGAAATATTTTACGTCGATATTTTGAGAAAAAATCACCGAGCGCATGTGTGTTCAGGATCAATATTTTAATTTAATGTGTAAAATGATTATATCACTGAAATATGTCAATATCGTTCCTGAACAAACTTGCGCTCTATAAATTCTATAGCTGAAATTGTTGAAATTTCGTCCATTTTGTCCATTTTATAACAAATGTAAAGCCCGAGTCAGTACACTTGTGTTGACAATGCTTTATTCGAGTGCGTCATGCACAGTATCTATAGGCATCTATACATACAAATAGTGAAAGCTACAAAAAACAGAAAAGAATCATAAGCTAACAGCCCTAAATTGATGGACAATAATTATCTCGACATTATGAATGATGAAATATGGCGCGAAAAAGTTCGCATGTGCGAAGTACTAGTTTGACATTAACAGCAGATCTACATCAATATTTATCACTGGCATTATCAAATACATGTAATAATTCAATCCTTTATAACAATAAAAAAACAAACTTACACTTTGATGGGCTCCAAATAACCGAAAATGTTATTAAAAAACTGCATAAAAAACATGTGCCCTCTTGGGCGGAAGTGCATTAATTCAATTAGTTCGTACCGAAATCGATTAAGTCGTACCAAAAATATTCTTGAACATTACACTCCCCGCCTGGTATGCTAATATCACAACATACATTGCAATTCAATCAACATCACTACTAGTGACTAGAATAAAATAATATCAATGTAAACATGAATTCACATCCAAATGTACAGTTTGCACCTTACACAGACAAGAGTTTCACAATTTCACACACAGGGCGAACATATACAGTCTTTGCATCGCCTCGAACAACTTGTACTTCCACCTTTCGGACCATGCCATCGTCGCTAGGGAACACACGCAACACCACTCCCAGGGGCCACTGATTACGGGGTACATCTCCGTCGTGTAAGAGAATGATGTCATCGACTTTCAAGTTCTCATTCACGGACTCCCACTTCTGTCTTGACTGCAAAGTTGACAAGTAATCAGATTTCCAACGTTTCCAAAAGGTGTTCGCCAGGATCTGAACGTATTTCCATTGGGAACGATACATCTCCTTGGTATCCAACTCCGCAGGATGCTGTGTCATGGTCCCAGTCTTCTGTGTTAACAGAACTGATGGTGTAAGAATGAACGGTGAGTTTGGGTCAGTGGAAACTGGTACGATAGGCCTTGCGTTGATTATTGCGCCGACTTCTGCCATTAAGGTAGACAAAACTTCATGAGTAAGGTTCTGATTGGCTGGGTTTCTGAGCATGTTATCCAGAGTGCGTCTCGCAACTCCGATAAGCCGCTCCCATACCCCACCCATATGGGACGCATGAGGGGGATTGAATTTTCCACCCAGTTCTATGGTCCTCCAACATTGAGATCGTTTCTGAGTCCTCTACATTAATGACCTTCATGTGTAGTACGTCGGCGGCTCCAACAAAATTGGTACCTCTATCGGATCTAAATTCTTTGACTTCACCACGAATAGCATAAAATCTCCTCATAGCATTGATGAATGATCCTGTACTCATTTCCTCAATGAGTTCAAAGTGTACTGCTCGACAGTACAAGCAAGTAAATATCACAGCCCAACGTTTCGAGTTGGCACTTCCTCCACGTGTGCGTCTGGTTAACACATCCCACGGACCGAACACGTCAACACCAACAAATGTGAACGGTGGACAAGGTGTCAAACGGTCTCTAGGTAAGTCACTCATCTTTTGTTCTACAAACTTCCCGCGCAATCTACGACAGATTACACAATGAAAGAGTATGGAGGATATAAGGCGTTTTCCTCCAGTGATCCAGAATCCTGCCTTTCTCAGCACCTTCTGTGAGATGTCTTCCCTGATGCTCAGTCTGTTCATGGAAATGTCTAACAATCAATGATGCAACATGATGTTTTCCTGGAATCAAGACTGGATGTTTCTCACCATATGGTAGGTCTGATATGTGGAGTCTACCTCCCACTCTTATGATCCCTTCGTCGTCTATAAAGGGTGCAAGCTTTAGAATGGAGCTTGTCCGCGGTATGGGTCTATTGTCCATTAGAGCTTCAGTCTCTCTAGGGTAGGTGTCTAACTGCACAGCTCTAAGGATCTGGTTCTCAGCCTGCGTGATGAGTTCTGTGTCATTAGTTTTAGTCTCTTTGTTCTTCTTTCTGAACTTTGTTGCAATTCGCAGCAACACTCTTATTGCAGATAAGAGAGATTTCCAAATGGAAAATCGCTTGAAACGAGATGTTCTGAGATATCCTACTGTTTCCATGCCTTGACAAGATGAAAACCACTCAAATCGGACTTAGTTTCTGTGTATAAGAAGTCCGGACCTTTCAGCCATGAACTATCCTGAAGTTGAGATGCCAACATGATTCTTGTTCCTGAGTCTGCAGGATTTATCTCGGTCCTTATGTAGTTCAACTGATCAGGTTGAGATGACCTGTGGATCCTTGCAACACGGTTGCTGACGTAAATGTAGAACCTTCTACTCGTGTTCTGTAAATATCCTAACACCACTCGACTATCTGAATAGTACTGAATGTCACTCAATTCCAGTCCGAGATGTAGATACCATCTCACCGACTTCAACAGCCAACACTGCCGCACAGAGTTCAAGCCTCGGTATGGTGTGGCCATGTTTTGGTGCTATCTTGGATTTCCCATATGTGAAGCCTATACGAATAGTTCTATTACTGTCAATAGCTTGCAGGAATGCGACAGCAGCAATCGCTTGCTCTGAGGCATCTGAAAACACATGCAAACGTTTCACATCACAGTCCTTGTAGGAATGCTGAAGTAAACATCTGGGAACCTGTAGATGTTCCAGAGATTTTAAAGAGTCCTTCCAATTCCTCCAGTCCTTTATGCGACACTCTGGTAATGGGTCGTCCCAATCTATAGTCTCAGCTATCAAGTCACGCATCAGGATCCTTCCCTGGAGTACGAATGGTGCGATCATTCCGAGGGGGTCAAATAGACTATTGACCACAGACAGCACACCTCTTCTGGTAAATGGCTTCTCATCGTCTCGCACACGATATGTGAATGTGTCTGTGTTGAGGTCCCATACCAGTCCGAGACTGTGCTGCAAAGGTAAGTCAGCCTTAGCAATATCTAAAGTTTTCAAGTCACTTGCTAAGTCCTCTGTGCAAAAACTGTTCATGACAGTCTTACTGTTGGACGCTATCTTGTGGAGCTTGAGTTGTCCCTCTTGAAACAGAGTCTCACATGTCTTCTGTAGTACACTTATAGCTTCCTCTTCTGTAGGGAAGGATGCCAAACCATCGTCCACATAGAATTGGTTGTTAACGAATTCCTTCACTTCCGGATCCTCAGAATGTTCCACACAACGACGGAGACCGTAGGTCGCAACCGCCGGAGAAGGGGAATTTCCAAAAACGTGGACACACATCCTATACTCAATCAGTTCTTTGTGGGGATTATGGTCCTGGTGCCAAAAGAAACGCAAGAAATTGCGATGATTCTCTGTCACAAAAAATCCATAAAACATCTGCTGTATATCCGCCATTACAGCAAATGGCTCCTTGCGGAAGTGATGTAGGACACCAACTAGACTGTTCATTAGCACAGGTCCTGACATCAAAACAGCGTTTAGCGAGATTCCCTTGTAGTTAGCTGTCGAAAACTTCTCTAACTTGGTCCCTTTCCCGTGGATGGTACACTCCGAATAACGGTAGATACCAGCACTCCTGTTCTGCATCAAGTGGTGGTGCCACTTCTGCATGTCCATTTTGCAGCAGCTTTGTCATGAAAGTGCGAAAATGGTCCCGTTTCACAGGGTCTCGTTGAAGACTCTTCTGTAAGATCCGTGCACGTTTCAGCGCTTCCTCTCTATTGTTGGGTAAAGCAGAACGTGACTCCTTAAAGGGTAATGGGGCTTCCCAATGACCATCTGGTGTTTTCTTAAACTCCTTATCCATGATTTTCATGAACCGTCGGTCGTCGACAGAGTATCCCTCATCCTCGTCATCCTTTGTCCGAACAAACACATCCTGTCCAATTCTGTCACGTTTTCCAGTATTTATTGAAACAGCTAAGTGATTATCACATGGTTCAAATGCAGATGGTCGTCCACTACTCAGGATTGTAGTTTTGTTGACGCTAGCTACAGTTGATGGTGTACACGTGTCTCCTAGACGAACGTTACCAATCACTACCCAACCGAGTGGTAGCCGCTGGGCAAATGGAGCAGTCCTTGGCCCCGTCTTCTGTTCCAATACATGGTGTACTTCTGGTAAGTCTCTTCCAATAAGAAGTAAAATGTTGCCTTCTCATCAAGAGGTGGGATCTGAATACCTTTCAAGTGTTCAAAATGTGTTATCACATCTGGTGTAGGGATTTCTTGACGATCGTTTGGAATGTTATTGCATTCGATAACTGGTGGAAGACCAATTCTAAATGTCCAATCTATTGATTCTATAGTAAGTCCAGATATCTGCCTTCCAGTCACGGTTGAGCGCCCAGCACAAGTTGACAGGGTATACTGCACTGACTCTGTCTTAGGGCTACACAAAGCATCAAGAAGTTTTGAACGGGCCAGTGTCCTATTGCTCTGGTCGTCGATAAGAGCGCAAGTATGATAATAGTTCTGAGGTGTGTCAGCAGAGTAAACACGCACAAGTACCGCTTTCCCGCAGGATTTCCCAGAAAATCCTGGTCCGCATACTTCCGTACACAATGATGTTTGTGGCTCCCCACCCATGGAGCTCGGCTGCTTCGCGGACCAAAGGCTCAGGATTGCTTTGAGTCCTATGGGTAACACCGACATGCAGTGCTGTGGAATGTTTATCACTCGAGCACATTCTACACTTAACCGGCACATTACAGTCCTTTGCACGGTGATTCGTAAACTCACAACACTTGAAACACAAATTGCGGTCTCGCAAGAACTTCTTCCTTTCTGTCATAGAGAGCTTTAGAAATCTCTTGCAGTCCTGTAAGCTATGATCTGCATTATGTACAGGGCACTTTGATCCCACAGAATTGATAGAGTCTCTCACAGCTGTTTTCCTGTTATTCACACCGAGTCCCCTGTTTCCTGTCTGAACTGGCTGTGGATGCATGTGAATACAAATCCAGGGTCGTTTCAGATAATACTCTGTTCACGAATGAATTCACTGAACTCTCTAAAGGGAGGAAAAGCCACCTTGTGTCTGTTCTTATATTTCACGGCTGTCTCTCCATTTTGACTGCAGAGATGGCGGTAACTTTGCGACAATAGGCGTTGTACCAGAGGAAGTGTTAAAGTACGATAACAAGTCTCTGAGCTGTGGGTCCTCCATCGCTGACTCAATCTCTGAGAGAATATCCGAGGATACGTAAAGTTTCTCCTTTTCTCTAACACCGATTTTTGGAAAGTTTTCAGTTTCCGCTTTAGTGCAGCTTCTATCACTTGTGGGCTGCCATACCGATCATTTAGTCGATTCCATATACGAACGAGTCCTCTCTGATGATCTGTTGGATTCGATGATCTAACGCTTATTGCCTGAGCAGTAGAACTAGGGCCCAAGTATTTCACGAGCAAGTCCAATTCTTCTGATGCGCTAATGTCAAGCTCCTTCATCACTGATTTGAAACTGTGTTTCCAAGCTAGGTAGTTTTCAGGTCGGTCATCAAACTTAGAAAGTCTTGTAAGAACAAGATCCTTTTTAAGAAGGAATTTTGCAAAGTCCGAACACTGATCTACATGACGAGCTCCTGTATGTTGCGTATGATCTACTTCGGGAGGAAGCAGATTCCTATCAAACGCTGAGGTAGGTTCTGGAGAATAATCCCATGAACGAACGGTGTCTTTCCATCCTTGTTCTGGTAGACAAGGTGCTTTATGAGTGTCGATAAGTCTGTTATCTTGTGTGTTAGCTCGTAAAGGTACGTAGTTTGACGATGCAACTTTTGGTCGATCTGGAAAGAGTTCTCTCGCAGATGGGTCTGTTACCAATGGCTGTGCAGGGTGATAGGTGAGTCCATCTCTAATACGTTTAGGCGCATGTGGCTCCACGTGTCTAGGAACGAATGCTGGTGTCTCAGCTGATAAATAAACTGACTGAATGTTCTCCTCTTCAGCTTTCACAGATGTTGGCATGTAATCGCTCGAACACCACGAACTAACATCTGTTAAATTCTCTGAACTAGTAGTCCTGTCCTTAGCATACATTTCTTCAATAGCACGTTTTTCTGCCAAAAGATCAAGGTCCATCTTGATTAATTGCTGTTTATATATGATTTCAGCTTGAGCTTTCTTCAATGCAGTTTCCTCATCTGCATATTTCAGATGGATTTTGGCGAGTTCCGCGCTTACGGAGACGTCCGACATGATGCGTGAGCTGCGTACAAAGTCTTTCACTGTAAAGCCCGAGTCAGTACACTTCAGGGGTCGACACTAACTTTTAAATCATAGTTTTCATCAGGGCTAGCCATTTCTAATTTCTAGTAGCCCTGTTCATGTGTTAGTTGTCCAGCAACCGAAGGCTGGTGGCTGAGTCGCGAAGCGACGAGGGGGGTAGGTGCGGGAGGGGGTTTCCCCCTCCTGCTGGTGGGGGTACGGGGGGCCTCCCCCGGGAAATTTTGAAAATAGAGATGCCAAATCCTGCATTCTGGCTGTATTTTGGGTAAAAATTATATGTCACCGTATGATTGTACCTTAGACATTTTTCTATTCGAAGTTCACATATATAATCATTTAGGATATTTCGAATCACCTTTAAATTTTACAATTTTGACATACAAAAATAATAATTATGATGATAAAACAGGTTTGAAAATAGATTTAATAATTATTAGATACATTATGTGTAATTGATAATTATATTTGTTGCTCTGAGTGAGTACTTAGTAAAATTCTTAGTAGCCCTGCAGGGCAAGTTTAAAGGCATGTTTGGTAGCCAGACCTCAATATTCAGTTGTCCCGGGCCAGCGGGCTACCGTTAGTGTCGAACCCTGCACTTGTGTTGACAATGCTTTATTCGAGTGCGTCATGCACAGTATCTATAGGCATCTATACATACAAATAGTGAAAGCTACAAAAAACAGAAAAGAATCATAAGCTAACAGCCCTAAATTGATGGACAATAATTATCTCGACATTATGAATGATGAAATATGGCGCGAAAAAGTTCGCATGTGCGAAGTACTAGTTTGACATTAACAGCAGATCTACATCAATATTTATCACTGGCATTATCAAATACATGTAATAATTCAATCCTTTATACCAATAAAAGAACAAACTTACACTTTGATGGGCTCCAAATAACCGAAAATGTTATGAAAAAACTGCATAAACAACATGAGCCCTCTTGGGCGGAAGTGCATTAATTCAATTAGTTCGTACCGAAAACGATTAAGTCGTACCAAAAATATTCTTGAACATTACAACAAATGATATAAAATCGGACGAGTTTGTGACGTCATAGAAACAAAAATAGTCCATGAACTCCTTTGAAATTATAATATGTTCTGTTAATTCATTTTTTAAATACAATTTATGGAATTCAGCACATTTCCAGAATTTTCAAAATTTGACTTTTGTGGGGGCAAATATATGCAATATACCGCATTTAGTTCGTTATTTACTTATTGAATACAAAGTAGTTAGTGCGTATAATAAACATAAGCATGTATTTATACAAATAAAAATTGCTGTGTCTTAATATATACCTATTGAATTTTGATATAATATAATTATATATAAATTGCAACTTCTACGAAAAAAAAATGAATTTATTTATGCGTACTCTCACTTGACATAGGGTATCCACCAGTTCTTTTACTAGATGTTGCATCGTGGACTTTTTCTCCTCTGTAATTGAGGTAGGTCTGTTTCTGCCTCCATGTCTGAATTCTCGGGAGAGCTCTCATCATGGCTTGGTGCTGTCCTTCGAGCAGCCTGGGACAGAGACAGTTCGCTTGATGAAGAAGGCTGCTGTACTCTCCTTGAATCCACTTGCCTGGGACAGAGACTCGTGTAGTTCGCTTGACAAAGAAGGCTGACATCTGAATTAGATTTATATATGAGTACCATTCTGTGTAGTGCTATAAATATTTTTTTTTCAATAACACACAAAAAAATATTAATTGAATAAAAGAAACAGGAAAATAATTTAAATCACCACTGTTCATTTTTACTTTAAATCATTTAGCTTCAATTTGGAAAAAAATTATCCCCCTTCCTCCAAGGTCTAAAACACCCCAGGCGGCAATTCCAAACAACGTTTTTAAAGGATGGCCCCAGATATATTTGTTATTGTTTGTTTGTATCGTGACATAAATAAAAAAAATTACCTGTACAGTCCCATGTTCCAAGGTTCCCCGTTTCCACATGTTGTGAGGTTCCAGTAGGTGATCTTGGGGGAAAATCAAAGCTGTAGGTCTGGGTAGAAACTCACTTTGGAGGTATTGCACGCATTCAAGAGTCCAAGATTAATCCTTGCACAACAGAAACAGTTAAAAGTCCAAGTCCAAGAAAGTGGTCACTTCGTTGCAAACTGAAGATCACATAATTACCAGCACTAAGATTGTAATCGGAGTCACTTATAGATCACATGATTATTAGCACTAAGATTGTAATTGGAGTCACTAAAA